CTATACATGGTTATCCCCATATTTTTCCACTCCATAGTTGGGATTTTTTTTGGGATACACATCTACAAATTTAAATATCTCAAATCATCAACATCAATGGGGATAACCCCATATATTTTCTCAATACAAACCAATTACAGACGTGCATCCCCATATATTTTCCACCCAAGTTTCCACTTAAATTGTCAACGTTTATCCCATATGTTCCCACTATCCATCCATTGATAAATATATGAAATATTGGGATAAACATCATTAAACATCTATAAATGGGGATAATCCCATATTATCCCATTAATGTTCCCACTATCCATCCATTGATAGATGTTTATCCCCGTATTTTCCACCCATTTTCCACCCATGTTCCGTCCGAAGGGACGCTTTTGATCATCCGATAGCCCCAGTGGTCGAAGCAGGTCTTCACACAGCTGGCGAAGGGCACGTCCAGCGGCGTGCGCAGATCCTGCGACGTCGCGATCGACGTCTTTAAGCGGCTTTGGGAAGGGAAAACATGGGAAAACCAACATTTAAAGTCGACATATACAGAAATCATGGGGAAAATATGTTCCATATAATGGGACATATAGTTAAGTTATATGATATCCAGTTATTATGGTTTTTATTGGGATAATCCCATATATTAATACTATAATATATTACAATAACGGTATTGTGATACCATAGTTTCCGATTTATAGTTTGCCATATACAGAAATAATGGGGATCATTGTCTCTATAAATATAAAGATGCACATATGAATATGGGATATATGATATATCTAAGATCAATTGGGGGTGTCCATAAATGGGGGTACCCCAATAGCTGGAGGGTTTTTTATAATGGAAAGTCCATCTATAGATGGATGATTTAGGGGTACCCCTACTTTAGGAAACCTCCATATAATAGTTTTATAATGGGGATTTTTTTGAAAGATGGACATATAAATATGGGACATAAGAAAAAGTATAGGATTTTAGCAGAATCCCCATTTACTCAATCTGTTCCCTCAGTTACCCCTGATATTGCTCATGAATCTGGATCCCTGTTTCGTTCTTGCCGTATTTCATACCCCCAAAAATTAAACGTTAGAAACCATAGTATTGGATCTATTTCAGGGGTCCTAACTACTGGGGGGTTTCTTGAAATGGGGTATCCCGGTCTCCCGAAGTCACTATGGCTTTCAATACGGTCTAATGACTTGGATGAGAACTGAGGGTACCACCATTTTAAGAAACCTCCACATGGGCTAAGCCGTCACTGTGCAAGGCATGATGCTAAGGAGAGAACGCTCTAAAAGGGCAATGGTAAATTTGGTAAATCGGTAAATTGGTAAATTTCACATGGGGGTGTAACGTTACCATCTTGGGGGAAGGGACTCCCCAACTCCCAACTCGCTCTTTCCCACCGATCAACACCTTCAACCTGCTGTAGATGGAGGGATCTTGTCGAAAGACTTCGGCCGCCAGACTATGCCTGGGGTAGGGCAGAGATGCAATGGCCGGCCCATTATAAACCAAGAATCATGGGTTATTAGCAGCTAAATGGCGAGGGGGTAAACTGTTAATCAACAAAAATAGTGTCTGTATATATATATATATACATACACATATTATATGTACATTATCAGATGTGGTATTTAGCATCAGGAAATGGGATTAAACCTGATTAAACTGATTATTTGATTGGAAAAAACGGAATATATTGTGAATGTGATGGGATATGATGGGATATATATATAGTTCACCAACTTCATATGTTTTGGTGTGTCCAAAAATAGGGAATCCACCTAAATATTCATCATCCACGAGAGTTTGGTGCCCCAAAGCCTGGATTTCTCGGCTGTAGTTCACATCCAGAAAAAGGTCGTATCTGGATGTATCTTGGCAGCTATGGATGTCCAGTCCAAATTGTGTGGTTATAGGATCTTATAGGATGTTATTTTAGGATGTTATATAGGATGTTATAGGATGCTATAGGCATTGATTCATAGCCATATCAAATCATGCCCCAGGGCCACTGGGTATACCCCAGCCGCCGCGGGCACCTCTCGTTCACGTCCGGCATCTGCTCCGGACACACATCGCGCGGAAACTCGGTCAGCGCCTGGGAGATGAAAAGACATTCGCTCTACCCTGGGGGAAACGTACAAAAGGTCTACTAATGATGGCTACCCTCTGGTTATGTCTAACATAGCTATTGAAAATGGCCATTTATAGTGAGTTTTCCCATTCAAAATGGTGATTTTCCATAGTTTTTTGTATGTTTACCAGAGGGTAAAAGGTCTACTGATGATGGCTAGTCACTGGAGAATCATTGGATAACTTAGATTTTCCAATGATTCATGGGTGGACTAATCACTGGTTGGTGGTTGACCTACCCCTCTGAAAAATATATGAAAGTCAGTTGGTATGATTATTCCCAATATATTGAAAAATAAAAAATGTTCCAAACCACCAACCAGAAAAGATTGGTTTTCCCAATGAAAACGATCTACAAGTAATGGATTTTCCACAGCTATGTTAGTTTGCTGGAGGATAATTGACTACGACATTCTGTGAACATATCCCTCGATTAATATCATTGTTGATTATCTCCCTCATCAACCTCAATTAGTTTAAAATTGTGTCATCCCCAAATTCGTTGCTTAGATTCATGTCAACCAAGTTCTCTTGGCTGAATCCACAGTAAAAATCCACCTATGTTACTTGGAAATCAGAGGGTAAACCTTGCCCCATGTTAGTTTGTCACTGCAGTGGGTCTCTGATGAAGAAGCAGCTAGAAGGGCTGGTCTTCCAACAGTTTTGGGTGAGGGAAGTATGGTGAATTGATGGCCAATCCTCATCGTCGCTCGTGGTATCAAACGAAATCTACGTTTTGAGGCTCGGCTAGTTAGACCGAAACAGAAGTGGAAGCACTGTGGCAAATTTATGCTCATTTATGCTCATTTCTAGATGATTTTCCCATCTTTTCCCAGCTTTCAACCTCCATTTAGTTCGGGGATTTCCCAGCCACGTTTGATGACACCGAAGGATAAGTCTTGAATCAAATCCTCTCTTGGTCAATCCATCTCCACCACCCAATTTTTTTCCACATGTTCGCCGGTTGATTCACCTAAAAATTTTGTTTTTGACCCTTCAAATTGACATGTCCCAAAGGTTCATTCTGTGTTTTACCGGGTAAAATCTCTGAAAACCCTCAAAAATCTCTGAAATTCCCCGAAAATCCCGTGAAAAAATGCCTCAAATGCCATGAAAATCGCCATTTTCTCCACCTTTTCCCATGCTTTTCCCGCAGCCTGGGCTGCCGCTTCCGCGGCCATGGGTTCGGCCACGGTGGTGGCAACCTCGGTGAAGGCGCCCTCGTCACTTTCGCGCAGCTCCTGTCTGGATGATTGGATGAGTTCATGGTGTTTCAATGGTGATTTTGTTGTGTTTTTATTACGATTTTAACGGTGGTTCAATGGTGTTTTTTATGGTGTTTTAATTGTTGATTTCGTGGTGTTGTTTTGATAGATGATTTACTGGCAAAAATGGTGACTTTCATGGGACTCTTACTGGTGGTGAAATGATTATTTTTCCTGGTGAAAATGGTGAAATCGAAGGGGATTCAATGGTGGTTTAGTGGTTGGTTTTATGGGATTCGATGGGAAAAATGACGAAAAAAAATGGGATTTTGCTGGGGATATCATGGGACTATGATGAGCTATAACTGATATAACCATTGAAAATGATTTGAAATGGTTGATTTAATGAAAATCATGCTGTTTACCATGAGTGCTCATGTTTTTTAACGTAACAATGACCATCAAGAATGGAGATAAGCATGGTATGTCATGTGAGTAAGACCCTTAGATGTCCTCAATATGGAGATTTTCATGGGAAAATCATGGGATAAATAATGGAATATCAGTGGAATATGAATGTAAATGTCCTGTTTTTTCCAAGATATGTTCACCTTTGAATGGTAAGTGGCGTGGAAAAATGATGATTTCATGTGATTTGACAAACTTTTTCCCCACTAAGAGTTGGGAGATTGTCCCATGTATCCGACAAATGATCAGGCAGTCGTACGACTGTCATGTTTTAGGGATGAACATCACTTTCAGCCGCATCTGTTGGAGAATCAAACCAAACAATTGTTGGGTGATGTGAAAAATTAGGACATGTACCAACCTGATTTTTGGGGGAGTTTATGAGATTTAGGGTGGATGTTGACGGGTTTTAGGCAATATGTTTGACATATCTTTTTTTTATGGGATTTTGCTAAGGGATTGTGGGATGTGTTTGTGGCACTTTACGGTATGGGATATAAGCCTGAATACCGGGAATATGACCCATCAGAATGGAGATAATATTGGGGATAATAACCGTGTATATCCATATATATATATTATATTATATTATATTATATTATATTTTATTATATTATATATACATATATATATATATATGTTGTATATCCATATATATATACATATATATAATATATAATATAATATAATATAATATAATATAACATAATATAGTATAGTATAATATAATATAATATAATATAATATATATTATATATCATATTATATGTATAATAGCAACTGGAACTTTCTATGGTGTTTTGGATGGATTTCAATGGGAAGTTCGATTAGTTTCAGATTCCGATTCCGATTCATCTTCTGGTGAAATGGAAATGGAAGATTCATGAAATCCCATCCCATCCAGTATTGCTATGGCATGTGTGGTATGTTGTATTGAACTCTATGGTTAGCACCTGCTGATTCCCATTTTTATTAAAAAAAAAACATTCTGCAGAGCATCATACCAATCTTGGAGCATCACAATGATTATTGCATATGATTGCATAGTAAGTGTGCAACACTTGGGGTATCCATGCATGGAGATATAGTGGATGTCTTTGGATCTCTTCTTTGGGATAATTTTCAGGATCCAACTCCTATGGAAATCATGTGCAACCCCTTTTTTTTCGATGGATTACCAGGAAATCCCTACGATTTCACAAGGTTTTCACAACTCCATCCCATCTCCCACTCCTCATCCACCAGTTTGCGACATCCATAGGCCAACGCTGCAGCAATGTCTTCAGGTGACATCTCCATGTGTTTCGCCACCGTAACCTGGCACTTTGGCATGGCCAGGTAGCCTCTGAGGAAACGATGGTCTTTACACCCAAAATATGGAGATTGTCCTGTAGAGTTTCTATGAAATTCCATCCAATTCCGAAAAAAAAAACGGAAGATCTACTTGGATAGAAACTCTACAGGTCACATGAAATTCGTCCATCCGTTTCAAACGCTTTTGGTAACTTTTTGGTGAGAACGTGTAAGAAATTCCTCAGCTGGGTAGGGACAAGAACCGCAAGAGTCGCAAGAAATTCCTGGGTCTTTGGCTCAAGCTTTGGCTCCGAGCTCCAATCGCCCGAGTCCCGATGAAAATGGCCATATGTTTTTGTTTTTTTTCATGGGATAACCCCCTTTTCAGAGATGGAGTCTAACCTGAAAGGATCCAATCCTATAGGATTTCCCCAGATATGTCAGATTCAGTTCGAAACACTATGCAGCTGAGAGTATCCAGAAAAAGTCACCAAAATCTACCGAAAAACCAGCAGGTTTGGTTGGTTCAGTCACCATGTTTGTTGGTTGAGTCACCATCAAGTCACCATGTTTGTCGCCATTAATTAAGTCACCATGTGTGTTGTTTAAGTCGCAATTAAGACACCAAATCTTGATGGTTACGTGAAGTCACCATGCTAGTTGGACAAATCATATATTTCTTCTGTTTTTTGTCAGTTGGCTGGTCAGTCAGTTCGTGAAGTCACCATGTTAGTTGTTCTATCACATGTTTTTAATATGTTGTTTATGGTCAAACCATGTTAAACCCACCCCTTCTGTTGCTCTCGCCTCCCACACCGGCTTTCGTTCCCCCGTGTCGCTCAGCTCCCTCCGGCGCGAGGGATACAAACCTCGATGCGGTCGGTGGTCGCTGGTTTTTTAGATAAAAATATGGAGAAATGCTACGAAAAGCACCATGATTCTGGTGAATATATTTTTAAAAAAATGGAAATCTCAACTATCAAAATTCTGGTGAATAAATATCTCAACACTTTTGGTTTGCAAAATTGAGAATGGGTCCAAACTGAAGACCCGTGGAAACACACAGTGCGGTCATTGCTTGCAGCTCATCCAATTGTGATCCAAAGCCAGAGAATCTATGGCTGTCACTGGTCGATTTTTTTGGGGGCACAACACAGCTTTTCCTATACAGTCAACAAATGGAGGTTTCCTAAAATGGGGGTACCCTCAGATCATCCATTTTAGATTGTTTTTTTTTTCCATTATAAACCATCCAGCTATTGCGGTAAACGACCAAATGTCAACAGTGTAAGATTCCATCGAAAACACCGAAGCTTCCCCCAAGAAGGACGGATCGCGTTGGGTTTCTGGATAGAAAACCTGGTACCGCGGCAAACATCTCAAGGATGATGGAAAATCAATGTGTGATCTGTCTACAGATAGGGTACCCTCTGGTAAACTAACATAGCTATTGAAAATGGCCATTTTCAATGGGTAAATCCACTATAAATGGCAGTTTTCAATAGCTATGTTGAATTACCCATAAAAAATGGTGATTTTCCATAGCTAAATGTTAGTTTACCGCAGGGTACCGGATTCAATCCCATGCTTTGAAGAATCTGTCCCTGGGCCCATTATTTGATGGCAATAAACGGGGGGCAGTACATGGGGGGCGAATCCCGCATTTTCGGATGTTGGTATGTCCATCTATATATCCATTTTTGAGCATTTTAGAGTATTTTTGACGTTTCACTCATCCCATTTTAGACTTTTGATCAAATCCACTACATAATTACTTAATAAGCACCATCTAGCCTTATTTACCCTCTGGTAATTCAACATAGCTATGGAAAATCACCATTTTTAATGGGTAAATCAACTATTTCTATGGCCATTTTCAATAGCTATGTAACAAATTACCAGAGGGTACTGGTTAGAGCCTAAATGTTTTTGGTGAATAGCCCCATCTATCATCCAATTCAGCACCCAATCAGAAAAGTGTCTCGGAGACCCCATGTATTTGTTGCTCATTTCACTACATTCGGAGCTTCACTGGGTACTTCCAGGTTAGCCATAATATATATATATATATATCTGGTTGGTGATATACCTACCCCTCTGAAAAATATGAGTTCGTCAGTTGGGATGACGACATTCCCAATATATGGAAAATCATAAAATTGATGTTCCAAACCACCAACCAGATATGTATATAATTATATATATAATACTGTTTCTCTAAAGACTGCCCACGGTTCACCCATACTTTGGGCTTGTCTGAAAAGAGGCTATCACTTCCAATGGATTCCTCTTACCCTCTGGTAATTTGTTCCATAGCTATTGAAAATGGCCCAGTCGAAATAGTGGATTTACCCATTGAAAATGGTGGATCTTTCCATAGTTTTTTGTATGTTTACCAGAGGGTAAATCCATTTCTTGCCGCCCTGGGAATCCTGAGAGCCCAAGCCCAGCTGCCGACACATGGCCTGCAGGGTTTTTTTTGGGGGTGATCTTCCCATTTGAAACCGGGGAAATATGAACCTCTGGTGATTGAACACTTCGCAGTGGAAAACTGCCCTTCCAGTTGATTGAAAATTCAACATGACCTTTTTCCATGTTCAATTGCCAGAGGGTACATAGAAAATCGGTTTTTGAAACCTGCGAAACCTAGGGAGGATTCAATGAGATGCTGCGATGTTTGGCGGACTCTCACGTGATCCAACCAGATTCTTGGTGTATTTATCGAGTGAGGATTGTTCTGGGAATTTCCTGAAATGAAGGTACCCCAAACCAGTGGTTTCCCGGTTGATACCAGCCAATTTTGAATGATTTTGGGATCCCCCATCATCCTCCATTTTAGGAAACCCTAATAGATACTATTGTGGATGACAATAGTGCCAATTTAGTGGTAATACTTCAATAATTCTTCGAATCCAGCAGTTTGGAATCAGCAATAATGCCATGCCCCGTTCATATGCAGCACACACATCCCATGGTTCCAAAAATATGTAAATCAACCATGGTTTCTGGGGATGTTTAGCATTAGGGGGAAGGGACTATTGGGTGGATTGAGTTGGTTTCAGCGAACTGGATTTCCCAACTTCGTTTCTTCACGTCATTTTTTCAAAAGCGTACATCACCAACTTTTCTTACACACCCATATTATGTCTGAAATTAAGGTACCAAAACAATCATGTAGTCAGTGTTTTCTATTAACGTTACCAATTTATGAATAGCATTAATCTTCAGACACATCCATATTGTTATCTCCAACGGTGTTCCATGCTTCGTATCTCAATATCTATGGATTACTAAATCACCATGTTTTGTGACTTTATCTCCTTTTTTTGCAGGGTGTTTGTTGCTTCGTATCCCCAGTTTGCCAGCCATATCACGTGGGAATCTGGGTAGGCTCCAATTGGCTCCGAACTGTTCACTCCATTCACCACCGGATATCATGTGGTTAGCTGTGTAAGTTATATGTCCCGCTGGTAAACTAGGAGAGCTATGGCAATCAACGTTTTTTCAGACGGCAAATCATGAAACTCATGGGCCATGGTTTCCATCGCAAGCTGTTGAATTACCTGAGGGTATCCTACATTAATCCATTATCATTATTTCGATATGGTTGGTTATAAATCCCAAACGTCCTTTTATAATTGTGGATAAAAATCGTCAACTTTCCTTGGTTTTGCTCATAAACAAATCCCAATATTCCTGGTTTTTCTGTTGGTCTTCCATGCTTTTTCCCATGGTTTTCCTATGAGTTTTCCCACGGGAGCTCCGCCTTGAGCTTGGCCTCCTCCATCGCCAGGCGTGGTAGGAGCAATCGCGCTGAAGCCTGCAGATCTGAAGCAGGATGCCATTGGGGGGCGGTTAGTTGGTAGATACAACTCATATAATAATAGTATATAATAGTACATGATAGTATATAATGCTTACAGATAATCATAGTTACAATAGTTATAATTGTTATAATAGTTATAATATTTATAATATTTATAATATTTATAATATTTATAATATTTATTTTAATAGTTCTATATCTGGTCGTAGTATGTAATTGACCGTCTATAGATGATTATATACATAGTACTATTTCATGTGTATATATATATAATTATATAATATGATTGAAGATAAATATTATATACTATTGGTTATAATGCAGGATGTGTAATTGTATACTATTGGTTGGTTATTTTGGAGGGTTCCATAGCCATAAAGGTACCCCCATTTCACCAAACCCCCATCCTGGAGCTCGCGATTATCCGGGAGTGAGGGAGGAGTAGCGAAGGAGAAGGAGGAAGAGGAGTTGCACCTTTGCTAAAAGCTAGCATCTAGAGATCCTCACCTGGCAGGTGGGGAAATATAAATTTCAATAATCCTGATCAAAATGGAAATCTTATCCAAAGAAATAGGAGAAGAAAACATCCAACCTAGCTCAGTGCTACTACCGTAGTGTACAGGAATCCAATCAAAGGCAAATGTTCAATTGCATCCACCAGCAAAAGGTCTGGCGACTGGAGCGACTTCAATCCATCGCCCCACCATGTTCAACCTGCCGTTCTGAATCTCGGTCGAGCTGTTCATTGGCTGATGGTTATTTCATGTTATTTCCAGCAACAAAACTTGATCAGACGCCATTCTTATCATACTTGTATCATCTTGTATCCCCTACAGCTGATTACTGGTTGACCCCAGGATCTACCCCAGGATGCAACCCCAAAAAAATGGGGTGAAAATCAAAGGGAACTCACCTCCGTGACCGTTACCGTTACCGGAGTCTGCCTGTACGGCTGAGCCCACGTTGGCTGGGCAGAAGGTCACGTATCCCACAGCATCTGCGGTGGATCAGCGGTTTTTTGCGGTGAAGCACGCGACAGCTGACCATATCAGCACTCGGATGGATCAAGGCAAAATATACAGGAAAGACATTCGAATTTACCTTGTGATAATTGAACGTAGCCATGGACATTGTCTTTCGTAATAGGCAAATCATCATAATCATCTATGGGCCATTGTCCACAGCTATGCTAGCCAATGCAATAGCACATGGACGTAGTCAATGAAAATGGGCAAGTCACAACGGCAGGAGTTCAGCAACACTGTGATTCCAACAATACACAGTATACCTACAAGAACTGTCGGGCAATACTGAAGGCTCTGATAACATAGTGAACCAAACAAATTTGCCGACAAAAGTTGGTCATAGTTGGTCAGTGCTAGTATGGCACCATCCAACTTGCAGAGGATACATGGTCTGCAAGTTTTTCATAGTTTTCATCATGAAGAATCAGGATTGGATCAGCAGGATTGATTAGACCAGATTTTTTTGGAAAAGAGAAACAAATCAGGATTGAAACAATAAAGACGATCTGCAATGGACGGAAATATACAAGAATACGCCTGGAAATCTATAGCCCATTTGGAAACACCATTGGTGATACCACTATCCATAGCTCCCAACCGACACCCAACATGAACCACCGGATAGATCCCAGTTGTCGCGATGTGATCCGGTTCTGTTGAACATAGCCATGTTGTTTTCAAAAATATGGTTTTGTTATATCTCTATTGGTAATATGTAAATAGTTTTTAACTATATTATGAATCAATATGAATCATATGGACCTTGTCATATGGCTGTGTCCAAAAATATTGGTATTTCGATGTATTTCGCCACACCCCCAATTCATGGCATTTTAATCGTGAAATTGATGCTGAAAGCTGAAGACCTCTGGGTTTGGGGTTCTTTCCCCAAGATTCTCAGTGAAAATTGGAAAGCCATGGATATTGCTGGCCAAATCTGAGGTGCCAAGAAAACCCTCTGGTAATTTCTTACATAACGAACTGGAAAATCACCATTGAAAAAGTGGATTTTCCCATGAAAAATGGTGGATCTTTCCATTTTTTTTGTATGTTTACCAGAGGGTAATGCATTTGGATTTAACCAAATTATCCCAGATGAACCATCCATGTCTCCTGCTTCAACGATGGGTATCTGGCCACCCCGCTGGCCTGTGAAGCTGAACTGATAGCCTCTTGCCTCGAGGCGAAAAGAAGAGGTGTCTGTGTCTGACACAGGTTTCAGTGTGCAGCAAAACTGTTGAATGCATATCTTGATATATATATATATATGTGTAATATATATATATGTAATATAATTATACATATGTATGTAATATTGTATATATATATATATGTAATATATATGTATATGTAATATAATATATATATGTGTGTGTATGTATGTAATATATATATATGTATGTAATATATATATATATGTACGTGTGTGTGATTGTGATTGTGTGTGTATTATGTTGCAAATTCTTGTTGCTGCTGTTGCTGCTATTGGTGGTGATCATGGTGATGATATTATGATGATGTAACGGGACCATCAACTCCCGAGTGGTTGGAGTTGATGAACCCATGAGAAATCACCATATTAGTATGGCTCAAAATGATGGATGAGTGTAGAGAAAGATGATAGATCATAGATCTGGGTTAGTAAGATTGTGGAGTACATGGACTAACTAAGACTATAGATTGTGGATGAATGCTACTAAGAATGACAGGCCTGTTGTGGGTGCACTGGTACGAAGTTTCGATCCAACCAGAGATCCCAAAGCCATAAAACAAATCTACCCTGTGATGATTTAACATAACGATGGAATATCAATCAAACACAGCAAACTATTCAATTTGTTTACTGGAGGATATGGGTAGTTTGCACCCAACGTACGAGGTTCCAAAGCTGTTTTCTCTATATCACTTCTTCAGGACTCCACACTAGAAAATGAGGTACAACCCCGGGATTAATCCATCATTTCTATCATCCTTTCAACTCTTGATGCCCTAGAATTTTACTTCATCTATCCAACCTTGCTCAAAATCAGCCGGCCAGGCGCCTTCAGATAGTTGTTCAGGCCTTGTTCTACTCTCAATGTGCTTTCCAGTGCCTCCGAAACAGCATCAATGGGATATGATGAGCACATCCCAATTGGGAAACCTGAGGGGGTCCACCCAAACAACCTGATTGGATTGGTGCACTGCGTTGCCTTACCATTGAAGCTATGCGTCAGGGCCTGGGTTCGGCTTTTTGAAGCCACTCTGAAAATGCCAAAAGGACGGCTTCGTTCAAATACCCAAAAGGATGGAGAGTAAAACTCAAGAAACCACCTGCCACAACCCTCGATAGAGGGTGGCCCTAAATATCCATTTTTACCATATTGGTAAATGAGGAATAAGTGGATAAACACCATGACCGAAACCACCAACCACTGTCAGAAGTCATTTAAAACATCGGTTGAAATGCAACCATTCCTGGATGACTCTGTATACTGATTGCATGGCCATGGCTACAGCTGAAACATACTTCGATGGCCAGGATGGCTCGTTCAGCAACGTCCCAGACATGCCAAGCTGGATCCGTACATTGAAGATTCGCCAGGTTTGAAAACGTGGCGAAAGTTAGCTTCAGTAGATTCCTGTCAACGTTTACACAGTTTACACCTAAGGATATCATACATATATATATATATACATATGTTTTTCCCCCATGATTTTCCCCATGAAAAATGATCAATGATGATCATACATGTGTTTTTTCCCATGCAGATCATTTTCCAAACAGGGCGTTCCCCATGGGTTTTCCACCTGCCAGACCGCTGCATCCTCTCTCTGATACGCCAAGCGAAGATGATCCGCCTCCCAGAGTGTTGCTGACCATGGTGATACCCAATTTATGGCCATAGTTCATGGGAAAATCATGGGAAAATCATTTGGCTAAACACATGGAGATGACTCGATGACCCATTTTCGGACAACTCCATTTGTACAAAAAAAGGGCGCTGGTTGCTGCTCCAAATAGACACTTGACATTGGGGGTTGGGTCACATGGACAATGCGGATTTGGCCAGAGAAAGGGGATAGTTTGGCCAGAGAAAGGGGATAGTTCCACGACAAATGCAACAAGGTGCATGTAGCAACCAAGAATCATAGGCTTCAAGACCTCTTGTGGATCGATTCTCCTGCTTGGTACAGATTTCTACATTAACTGGGTCACAAGCAGCATTGAGCCTGGTCGTAGAACACCATTCAATAAAGGTGAAGCAAGAGTTCTTCTGGCCCTGTTTAAGTGGAGTCAGCAACTTCATTCTTGGAACCTTCGGTCTACTAGCAAAATTTCGAAAAAAAGAATAAAACTTGATTTGCTGACCAAATAGTATCAAAGTTTGAATCGAGTGGCTGGACAGCAATCTCGAAACACAAACCAACATAAACCAACTATGTATCTAACTTATTCTGACTTGTCTTCCAGCAATCATACTCACAATGACCTAAATCATCCAAGAATCAGGGCTTCAGGGTTTAAGTCAGCTGAACCCAAAAACAAGGCTTCACACCTTTGCACTGCCCATTGTTCTGTTTCAAGGTGTCCCCAACAACGGTTGCCTTCGGCCCGATTTTCGGATGAATTTATACACTCTTGTTTGATAGGTTGCACCCCATAACTTGGGTACAGTACAGTAGATGGCAGATCTGAATTAGTCAAAACATTCTCAAACTTAAACGCCTAAGCAGGGTCCAAGTTGGAAAGAAACTTACCCTGGTACACCTACAAGTTTACACTTGTACTGACACATCATGTTGTCCCGCTTACAATCCCAGAAATGCTTGGTTCGTCCACCTCGAAAATCTTGTAAAGCACAATCCAAGCAAGATCTGGGGAAAAATCACCTAAGTAATCCAAAAAAATAACACATCTCAAAAAATCGAGGATCCGATGTTTTTTCGGATTGGATCAACAGTTGGGCAAAAAAAAACATTGATACCCTCTGGTAAACATACAAAAAACTATGGAAGATCCACCATGCTATCAATGGGTAATTCCACTATTTCGATTGGGCCATTTTCAAGTTCGCAAACTGTAACAAATTACCAGAGGGTAAACATCCATTTTCCTATGGTGTTCCTATGGTTTTCCCATGAAAAAACCTCCATTTTCCTATGGGTAAATCCCATGATAATCCCATGTTTTTCCACCATAAAATCACGGCGAAAATGCCATGGTTTCGCCTGGTTGATCCAGGCCACTAGGCCCTTGCCGTTGGTGAAGACACCCCGCGCCTGGCGCGGGGTTAAATTTGTTCAGGTGGAAAAAACGATGGAAAACCTATGAAAAAATATGCAATTTATAGGAGTTAATAGGGTTTAATGGGATTTAATGGCAGTTTTAATGGGAGTTAATAGGAGTTAATAGGAGTTAATAGGATTTAATGTGATTCCATGGTTTTTGATGGATGAATTGCATGGGTTTTCATGGGTTTTCATGAAGCCTATGTCTTGATTCAATTGTGGCGAGATCTTTGGAAAGCTGTTGTGATTTGTTTTTGATGATTGGAAATGTTCTTGACGTTTCTCATGGGCTTCCATAGAAAACTGCCGTGGCTTCCCCTTCGGAGAGTGATTCTCAGCTAATTGATGCTAATGTCTGAAATGTGTTGGAAGGTGGCTGGTGATGGCTGTCCGAAAATGGTCCTAAATTATCCCTAAATGGCAATGTTCATAGGGAACATGGTGATTTGGAGCTAAAGACCATGGTTTCCCGTAGATTTTCCCTCAATTCGAATGATTATATGGTATTGTTCAATCACAGATTCAGGGAATTGCTTGGCGGATTTCGATTTACCTGATTCAAATGGTGATTTCCCACAGCTACATTAAATTTAAATTACCAAATGGACCCAAATGGTATCCGCAAACTTTGGCTACATCGTCTTGGATCTGCAGTCTGGCTGCAGACTCATGGTCTCTGCGAAAATCACGACCAAAGGTCGTCCGTGTCATATCCGTTTGATAATCTTCACACCAAATCTCTGATGATCTTCTAGATGCACATGCTGCTTATATTTCATTTGTTTTATGTGTTTTATGCCTGTTGTTGTTTCTCAGACCCACATCTTTGTGCTCATATTTTCATCCGGTTGGTGGTTTAACCCGTCCCAAGGATATTTGTCATCTAAAATTATCCCTTTTGTACGGTTTGACTAAAAAAAACAACCAGATCATCATTGGTCATATGTGCTCACTATATCTCCATCATATCCCCATCTATTTCCCTTGTTAAATCATCTCAAATCCCCATGTTTTTAGTTGGCCATCATCATTTGGCTATGGGTCAACGCCTACAAACCCGATAAATCCCAGCTATTTTGCTGTTCCGCTGGGTCAGCCAAGCCTGGGGCCAGTGTCGTCCCAAACCACCCGACAAATGGAGACCACTCTGTGGTTCCTGCAGCAGATGTCCTGCCACCTGGCCGTTTTTTTCGGGGTCCAAAAAGGTGGTGGAAATAACCAGGGGAATGATGTCATGATGTCCCACCATCTGAGATTTTATGGGAATAGTTTAGGGTTTAGGGTGGTCTAACCGGTCTAACCATCAATGTTGTTGGGGATTGGACTGGGACTTGGGATGCAATGGTGCTTAAAAACTATCAATTTACGGGATTTTCATGGATTTTGCTAGGAATCAAAAAGGCGATATTTTGATGGGATATACTTGATATACTTCACCAATCACATGATTTGAAAATGGGTGCGCTTGAAAATAAATAGGATATCCCCCAAAATGGCCATCAAATAGTAAGAAAATGAACATTAAGCAGTAGATTCAGGGATACCCTGTTTTCCTAGAAACCCATATATATATATCCTTTACATCACCGTTTTTGTGATCGTTTTACTGGAGGCACTCGTACAATTGCCACTACATCCCCAGCAAGGACCTGATCATCATAATTTCGCTTGACGGTGGTATAAGAAGAGTAGAAGGCACACTGAAAACCAATTGGGTGGATGATCACTGTCTGATTTGGATGTTTTTTATGTCATTGATATTCTCATCTATCCAGCTTGAATATCTCTGATTGTCATGAATTTCACACGACTCAGTTGCTGGAAAAACATATAAATAGTTTTTGGGGTACTACATATGGTTTGCGATATTCCCCATTCAACCATCCAGTAGAACCCCTAATAGAAGTCATGATTCAAAAACAGCCTATTGGAAACCTACTTGGATTTTGGGCCAACAACACTCATGCCAATTCTGGTTGGTGGTTTCAACCCCTCTGAAAAATATGAGTTCGTCAGTTGGGATTATTCTTCCCATTCCCAACATATGGAAAGTCATAATCCAGCCATGTTCCAAAGCACCAACCAGAATCATATCCCAATGACATCCCCAATATTATGATGATGATTGTGATGATGATTGTGATGATGCTAATACCATTACATCCCAATTACATCAAAAACTGACTTGCTGGTTACATCCCCAGAAGAAATCCAGGGATTTTGAGCAAAATGGCCATGGCAACTGGCCTCGCCTTCAACTCCTGTTCCGTCTCCAACGACATGCCCCGCGGCTTGGGCGCGTAGCTGTGGGACCCACGCCTGGAGTAACCAGTAGATTCCATGGCGATTTAACCATTGAAAATAGGGATTTCATGGGAATATCATGGGATAAGACGGGATAAGTATAGTATGCATATATATATACATGTAACTAAGCAACTTGTGATGATTATATGTAATATATGATTATCCAATGAAAATGCTGATTCAACCATCGAACATTGGGAGTTGATGAAAATAGAAAATGTAAATAAAGGGGGTATCAATGGAATAAATATAACCAATAATATGATATTGGGATGGGCCTGTTACTTGGAGGATCATCCATTCATGACTGGTTCCATCTGGTGGTTTCAAGCCATCTGAGGGATATGAAAACGGAGCATGGCCTCCCCCCGTTTTTGGGTGAACCATGGCATCTGATGCTGAGGGAATCTTGCTGCATTTAGGCCGCGAAATCTGTTTTTGTCAAACTTTCACTGCAACTCACGGCCAAAATGACTGAAATTTAAGGTATCCAAAACATATGTGCCATGGCTGCCATGGTCAAGTTACATGGGACTGATGTGGTATGGCCATTCATCCCATTCATCCCACAGAAGGGGAATACAATCGATCCCTTGGTGGTTTGATTGTACCCTGGAGCAATCTGACATTGCGAATGGTGGATATCCATTGGCTATGGAAGCTTACCGGCCCATACGACTAGGTGGCAAAAGTCAGTGGATTGCTTTAAGGGAAATTTTACAGGAAACCGCCATATTTAATGTTAAAAACCATGGTTTCCTGTAGATTTACCCTTAAACCAATCCAATGAAAAGGAAAAACGTTGCAACACTTGGAATAGCAAACATCCAAACCAATGAAAGTGGGTGGATGACCCGTTCTGTTGATTGTTATGTGTTCCATCTCCATCTCCATCACCACCACCACCACCACCAGCATCATCATCATCATCAGCATCATCATCATCATCATCATCATCATTATCATCATCATCATCACAATCCAATGATAGCATTTCACATCATATAATATCTGGTTGGTAGTATACCTACCCCTCTGAAAAAATATGAGTTCGTCAGATTGGATCATCATCCCAAGTATTGGGGAAAATAAAATTCATGTTCCAAACCACCAACTAGAATATCATATCCCAATTACATCCCCAATATTATGTTGATGACTATGATGATGATTGTGATGATGATTACCAGCATTTCACATCATATAATCACAATATTATGATGATGATTGTGATGATGCTAATACCATTATCACAATATATTACCATCATCACAATGCAACGATAACCTTCGGTGCATAGCCAAGTCACAACGGATGGTAATCTCCACCCTGGAGCAGATCGTCCTGGTGTTTCGTCATGGATGGGGTGGAAGGATTTGGGGTTGGTATGCTATGTAATAGAAACATGAAAACCCCATATCCTTGTTATATCATGGATCTGAGTTATAAAATATTCTTATGTTTTAGAAAAAATATGAAGGAACGACATACAACTATCATGCAATCCACTATATTTCAGACAATAATGACAAGAAAACCAGTGCATGAAAATGATATGATAGGTTTTTTTTCGGAAAGAAAAACAAGTTGTCACTGACAGGTTCCCCCTCAAGGTCGGGATTCGGAGCCTGACACCTGACACACGCACCTCCCGACAGTCGGGTTTGTCTGAGAATGAGAGATCAATCCATCAGTTGTCATGTTCCTAGGGTAAAAAAAATACAGTTTGCTATTGAAAATGGCCAATTAATAGTTGACTTACCTACAAAAAATTGTGATTTTCCATAGTTGTGTTAAATTACCAGAGGGTAATCGTCTCTCACAAATGGTGCCATAACATTCCGCAACAAGATAGCTGATTCCTTGCTGAAGCTGGAAAATCACACATTCAGTTCCGTGATTTTCGCAGCGAACTAAACCTCCATTTAGCTCGGGATCTTTAATCGCCACATTTGATGACACCGGAGGGTATTAAACAACATGCCATGAATATTCCACTCATATTCCATTGGAATTCCATTAACTATTACCCAATGATTATTCCATTCATATCCCATTAATGGGATTATACATATAATGAAATATCACGGATCAACCATTGTTTTTCCTATGGAATATGGGAGTTTCCTGTATTTTTTCCCTTAAAGCAATCCATTGAAAATATAAATCCCTAGGGTGACTATCTCTATGTGTATATATATATAATGAAATATGAATGGAATATTAATGGATTCTCAATGCCTTTATGTGAGAAAAATCCCACCATTGAAAATCTGCCCTGTACCGTGAAGGTGATCCCAGGTGAAGTTCCTGAACGCTCATCAGGGCGTTCACCAAGAGACGTTCTGCATCTGAGCGGTCCTCCGCTGCCCACGTGGGAAAAAAATGGGAAATATATGTCATATATATATATACATACATACATATTGTATATATTTAAGATATGTATCTATCTAACAATACTGTACATAAACATTGTGTATATATGCATATACTTTGTGCATGCATGCTGATATAACAGTATACATATACATATCTATATATATATATACACGGGTGATATCATAGTACATGTATTATATATATATACAATCATCATCAATCGTCAATCCAGCCAAGATATCCTTCCAGGAAGCGGCCATGTTCAATGGGAAAGTCGTCTAAAAAAAAACGGTTTTTCACAATATTCTGTCATAAGATGGGTGATATCGACCCATTGTTTCATAAGAATGACACAGATTTCTTAAAGTAACCTACTTATGTTCTGTGTTCGGCAATTTTTTGTTGGGTGACGCAACAGACCCTGGAAGAAGAGCCAACCTCAAAATCGACCCTTGGGCCAAGCACCTGCTTTTTTCAGATTTTGAAATCAACCTTCCAGATGCCTAGAGTGAACTTGCTATACTTTTTTGACTCAATCTGGATAGAAAATAGGTAAAGAATTTGAAGCCAGTAAGCAGATCGATTTCAGTGGGAGCAAATGTTTTGAGACCTGCTTCAACCCAAGCTGGCTTCAGGATACGTTGCCACTTCGAACATGGGAACTCGTCAATTCATGACACTGATATGATGAGACCTCATCCTTTGTGATTTTTGAAATATCATCTTTCAAGTTGGTCCGACATGAAGCCATAGTCACAAGATGTTAAAAGCCATCCCTCCCACACTGGAATTCTCATAGTAGGTGCATCAGGTGTGTTATTCCCTATTGATACATTAATCTGCGCGAGCGAAGTCGCAGCACCAACGCCCCTTCCCGGTTAAGGGGGGTACGAGGTGTCAGAAGGGGTGTGAACCGAGAATTGAAAGCACACAGCTAACTACAATGTACTGGCCGTATGCCAGGGAAATGTCACACTAAGAAAAGCAGTTGACAAACCACATCGCGCGGTTGTTCCTTGCCGAGTGAAAAAGACAATGGCATACAGAAACAGCAATTTTGGCAGAGCTGCTTCGAAAATTGCATATCTTCAATAGGTAACTGTTTGTGATGTCATGTGGATAGCGACCTGACGTCAGCCCCATGCCACGGAACTGATGTTTCACCAAAAGATGAGAAGCGTCCACAGGGCCGAACAACAGAACCTCAAAAGAGCCCACAAGGCCAGTCAACGTCAAAACACAAGTCACTCGATAGTGGCAGGGGCAAACCGAAGGCAAAGGGGTCACATACTCGATGATCGTGGGGAAAACTGCATGGATCAGTTAGAAAGGGGCCACCTCCCCACCCCACTACGTGGAAGCCTGAGCCCAGAGGCTACCCAAGTTTTGACCATGGCACATATGAAATCACATCTGAGGAACTTGTGTGCTTTTGATCAGTGAACCAGACCATCCACTTTTGCTGGCTCAACTAACATCGTCGATACCAGATTGCGTAGACCCATCATTGCGAAAACTACACTACTAAGACGTCTTCTCAACATTTCTCAACCACACATT